TAGAAAAGAGAGGCCCTGGTTACCCATGAAAGAGGGGAGGAGTTGTTACCAGAGAAAGAGGGAGGACTGGTTACCCAGTGGAGGGGAGAGGACTGGTACCCAGTGAAAGGGGGGAGAGTAGAGTGAGTGAATTTAGAGTCGAGCTGCAGAGGTCAGTGAGATGCTGTGCAGATCTACACGTCATTTTATCTACAAGTCATTTGTTATTTTTTTATTACCAGTGAACAGATAGATAACATTTAAAACCAATACTAGTATTGTTTTTAGACTTACCCAGGTGCTTGGGACCACATTTGGGTAACATTTACTTGGGGTTTTAAACAAGTTGAATGACACCTCACTATTTGAATGTTGCCGCCGCAAGGAATTGTAGAACATAATCGTCTCCTTTCCCTCCGTCAAGGATGGTCTAGTGGTTCCTATGCTAAAGGAGCTAAGAAGGGAAGCAATGCAGTGCCTTTCCTTAGCATTAGAGAATTCAGCCTGTCACGGTGTGGTTCACTTCCTGTCGTATTTTGTAGTTTTCTGCCACTCGTGTCCCCGGGTAACTTCACTTCCTGCCTTGTCCCGTCATCCCCTGTGATCGTCTAATAGTTTCCACCTGTGTCCAATCACCTGCACCTCCCTTGTGTATTTAAGCCATGTGTCACTTGTCGCGTCATTGTCTTTCGTCGTGGATGTGCGTAGTTCCTGTCTGCCGTTTTCCCCCATGGTTGCTGCGTGTTTTTTGCCCCTTGGCGTTTTGCTTTTGCCTTTTTGACAATTAAAGTCTTTTGCTTTCCAAGAAGTCTGCGTTTGAGTCCTGCCTCCTCTACGCATCCTTGACACAGCCCTTATCATGGCGGCCACCTCCACCACTAACCATGATCCATGGAAACCTGTGAGGTGAGAAAGCACACATACAAAGTTAGTGATGCCTGTTAATGTTTACAGCAATAGAAATGGGAATATCAATGGTGTTAGATGTTGTAGGTGTCTTAGGGGCCACGCAGGAGTCAGGACCAGGGTCCAGACAGAACTAAGATCTTAACAGAGCTGACCGAATCTGCCCCCCGGACTGAAAGTGGAACCTGGTTCCACAAAAGAGGAGCTTGATAACTGAAGGCTCTGGCCCCCAGCCTACTTTTTAAAGCCATAGGAACAACAAGTAACCAGCATCTATGGAGCGCAGCTGCCTTGTAGGGCAATACGGTGTTAGAAGCTCTTTAAGATACGACGGTGCCTCACCAGAGAGGTGATCTGTCCTGCTTTCTGCTCCAGGTTGTTCTGACTGCACCAGCTGCCTCCCGTCTCTAGTCTACTCGACTCGTCATCGACCCCGATGAAGCCGATGACGGCTGTGTTGTCTGTGAACTTTCTGAGTTGTTTTTGTCTTTTTTCATTGGTGGGTTTAATGTTTTGACTGTAATCAATAAATGTAATTCATTCATTTATTGCGTGCCTGATAATAAGTTATTTGCATGGTCTGTTTAGCTGACGTGCTCACATGGATTCAAAAATAAACAAAAGTGAAAACAGATTTAATGTAGATGGTTTATAACTTTATTTTTGCTGTGTTTTAATTTTATTTGAGAGATACAACAAAGCTACTTGCTTAAAACATTGGACGCTCTAATATGCTTTGGGAGTAGTCAGCAGTATATGAAGCAAATCCAGCACTTGGTAGAATGGCCAGTTTGTCTTCTTTTTGAGTACAGCAACAAAAAGCACATCAGTGAGACGCAGCAAACAGAATGATCAACCATTGTGGAACAAAGAGTGAAAGGGGGGACAAGTGGGCCAGGCTTTACAAGAGGTGGAGGAGGGACGAGACGCAGGAAGAAATGGGAAGGGGAGGGACACAGAGGGGGCGCGTATGAACACACATCTGGAAATAATTGGAAAGAGAACGAGAGAGAGGCAGGCAGTTTTGTTCAGAGATCGACTTAATAAAGTTGGGTAAAACCCTCCAGGTGGACAATTGCTTAAAGTCAATACAAAGTTCTGAGTCGTGGACGAGGACAAATTGATTTGGGGACAGCGGGCGGACAACGTCGACCAGTGAAGAACAATCGAGACGGAGACAAGAGAAGCCCGGCTGCTCCTGGGACCGATGCCAAGGGGAGCTGGAAAGTAAAGAAAAGTAAAGACCAGAACCGGGGAGTGAAGAAGCAGGACGTAGAGACTCAGCTTCAGGTAAAGCCCTGTCGTACCCACACACACTAAATGTAGACACCAGACGCTTCCACTTTACTTCAAGTTCAAAAGTCAGTATGTTTAAATGAAGAAAATATGTCTCCCCTATAATCACGTTTGCATGAATTCAAATGGAACTGCTTTTACTGTGTAAAACATCTGTTGATCTCATTAGTCGCTTTGCACTGCTGACCACGATAATAACGATCCGCATAATGATCTCAGTAAGGCACTAAATACGTAGAAAAGATTGTCCCTCCAACCTGTTGACTAAAATATGCCTGTAGTCACTCACCTATTTCCATAAGCATATGAGCACATCTGTGATATGGATTACATGTGCACCTCCTACTCTAGTCTTCAGACCCCTCACAGAGCTCCACATGGCCTCCGTAGAAGCCTCCTGTTTTACAGTATGAATACGCTAATGGGTTAGTCGAGGAAAGCCCCACTGTTCAGCCTCACCAGTGACTGCAAACTCTTCAGGGGACCGACTGAAAGGGAATTTGACCCTAAATGTGTGTTTCATACATAGATGGTCAGCCCTTTATTGATGGATTGGTTTTAATCACACATGCATTCAGCAAAGCCTTCTGCATTCTCCTGCCTCTGTTTGTGAGACTCTAGGTCTCGTCGTGTCCTCCAACTATTCACCTAAAGTAGCTGATAGAAACTTTCCTCCTCGGTTTATGCAATCAATACAACGTCAAACACCGTTCTGGGCCATACTTTGCTTCATAAGGGTTTGTAGAAGATGTGTGACCCACAGGTCTGCTGTGGCCCCGGCTGGTGCTTCCAGCATTATAATTAGGTCTACCGAGAGAGGAGGGAGCTTCCTTCCTGTCAGCAGTTTGACTTCCTGTGTAGAGTCAGTACTCAGTGTAGGGACCACTTAGTCAGAGACCAATCACACCCCCACTGTGACCGTTATCTCACACACACAAGAACATCACGTGTTGTGTTTCAAAACGTTGAGAAAACACAAGTCATAGGAGGTTTCCCACTCAAAGAGCAGTCAGGAACCATTCCTTGTAGCCATTGTGACCACTCCTTGACTTCCAAATGAGGGATTGAGCAAAATGTCTAGCTTCGTCATCCGGTGCAAAGAGAACAGGAAGCTGTTTGTTGTACCACTGAAACAAAGTACAAGTACAATATGTGATTATATACCACAACATATAACTGGGCCACTGCAGGGCAAGGAATGCTGTGTGTGGAAACACACACATTCATGTACCCTTCCTGTCCCCACTACTCACATTACAGAATCCTACAATCCTGTATTTAACATGTCGATTTAAACGATCACAAACAACACAATTGTTATAGAAAGTTTCCATACTTTTTAGTTGGTTGAAATCAGTGGATAATGTCAAAAGTATCTTGAGCTCGGTTGTGATTTAGTATTTATTACACTGTTCCATTGTGGATCAGTTTCAGTCCAGAATAGAGGTCACAGAGTTAAAGAGAGAACTCAGTGTGCATGAGATCAATCAATTCCCCCCGACACCAACAACATTAAGATGAATACATTTCATTACGGCCAAAAGTATTGAAATAATAGCAAATTGTTTTTGGAAGTAGCCAATCCCAACGATTAGGATGATGTCCTTCCTGGACACATCTTATAATTCACGCTTTCTCGCACATTTCTAATCTCATTGGTGACTTGCTTCCCGCTCACACACGCCAACAAAGCCGCAGTTATTTAACCGTAGAAGGTCACATGAGGCACACAAACACAGCAGCCAGGATGAGTTAACTGTGACATTGTTGTTTGAACGTAGTCTCTTCTGTTGCAGGATGTCAGCGTCTCGAAGGTGTTTGTGCTGTGTCAAATATTTGATGTTTGTCTTTAACCTCATCTTCTGGGTAAGTGTCATCACCACTAAGTTGCTATCATACACTTGCATTCATTTCGCCTTCACTAAGTGTTACTTAAAATATGCTCATCGCACGCCTCCAAAGGATTTAATGTGCATGGGCCATGTTAATCTTTGCCTCGGTAGTGAGTGATGCTGCGTTGTCCCTCTGGCTTGACATTACGCTTCTTGGAAAGCTAGGGGGATGCGGCTTGTTCGGCATTGGGGTCTGGCTGTCCTTCACGCAGGCGGAGTTCTCCTCTCTTCCCCTGTCGTTTCCATCCCTCTCAGCGGCCAACCTGCTGCTGGTCGCCGGTGGCATCACCATGGTGACCGGCTTCCTGGGTTGTCTCGGAGCCCTGAAAGAGCAGCGCTGCCTGTTGTTCATGGTGAGAGGTTGACATGGGGAAGAAGTTGCAGATATCTTTGGTCATGATGTCAGTCTCCAACTGCTTTCCTCTGTTGTGCAGTTCTTTGTGATCCTTCTGCTCCTGGTCCTGACAGAGGTCACTCTGATGCTGGTAATACACATCCTCCATGACAAGGTGAGCTCTACCAACGCGATGCACACTGAATAAATTGGGTGTCTTAACATCATGCACAGTGAATGATTGAGACCAAAAATATAAAGGAGGTGAAAATGCAACTGAAATTGTTGTTGTAGGTGGAACAGAAAAGGATATGGGTAAGTTCCTATCAAGGTTTGCTGAGAAGACCTTTTGGTTAAGTTGACTGGAATCCTCTTTCTCAGATTAGGTGATGTAGTTCTGCATACATCACATATCCAAATCATGGCAGCAGGTATTATTTTCAAATTCACTGACAAAGACCAGAGCATGAGAAACGAAGAAGAGCAGTTTGGGGTTTCTGTGGGGACCGGACTCATTGAGGATCCACTTCTTCTGTACACATACGTGTAGCATCAGGGTGGGGGTGTTAGGTCTCAAGACTTATTGACTTCTGTTCCCTTTAGGAAGTTTGATCCACGGAAATAAAATGTCTCTTATATAAGTTAGCATTAACGTTTTAACATATTGCATTAGTAATAGCCAGCAGTGATTGAATCAGGAAACTTTGAATGGATGAAAACAGTCAAATTGAAACCCACATAGTGTATAATGCTCGATAATAATTACAAAAAAATAATGATAATAATTAAAATAAAAAGGTAACTTTTTGGTTAATCAAATATTGTCACAAGGAACTCATTGGCAGAAATCCGGTTCTAAAGATGTGCATCCATTGAGCTTGACACGGTCGCCTTGTAGCCGGAGGGTTCTGGGTCTGACCCCGCTGGCTTGAATTGCATCAGCATGGATTTTCATCCAACAGTCAATGTCATGCAGTAAATAACGCAATTTATTTATTTGTAAAGGTGATCAATGTCATGCAGGTTAGCTTATTTGCTGACTACAAAAGAATTTGCCTCTCCCGCTGTGCCTCGTAAAGGTTCCTGTAACAGGCCGTCTCTTCCCAGTTGTTGAGGTCAATGCATCATTTCCTCAAGTGGCATATGAGGTGATCCATGTAGTGCGTTTTTGTTCGTCTTGGCTGTGATTCCCCTCCTCCGATTGGCCGTAAAGCGGCTGTTTCAAGGGGTGGAGTTTGGACTATGGATCATGGTTCGCCCATCAAAGCTGGCATCATGATAGTTGTGGAGAACTTGGTCCATGTTGGCTTCCTCCAGGATGCTAATGTTTGATTACCTGTCTTCCCAGTGTGTGGGATTCAGCACCGTAGAGGAGGAACAAAGTACTACTTGATAGAGAGGTCTGGATCACGGCTAAAATCAGTTTCTTTCTTCCTTTTTTTGAAAGCTGGATTCAAGAGCACAAGGTGAATTAAAGGAAGGTATGAAGATTTATGAATCGGAACCTGAACTTAAAAAATCCTGGGACAACGTCCAGAAAATGGTGAGAACTCTACAAAGAACGCATGAGTACTTGTGTTGCATGCGTGTACAGTAGGTACGTAAAACCGAACAAACGATGTCACGGCCAAACACTCACAAACAGCCAGTAGTGTGTACGATATGTCAGCAGATCCCAAACCTCTTCTGTCTATATAGGAACACTGGAGGACCCCCCATGGGCCGCATGAATTGCATTATAATTATAATGTAAAATCTATCAAATATTAGTTTTCCTTTTTATAAGTGCGTGTTCCCTCCCCCCAAGTTATTTTCCCAGGATTTAGCAGCATATTCGTCTTTATCTTATTCAGTTACATGACCATGGCGGGGGGTTTCCAAGTGTCTCATCACTTTAGTGGGCTTCCTACTGTCTGCCTCCAGTATTTTAAGACACTCTCACCGTGGGGTCTCTCTTCTTGGCCGATAGTGGTCATAAGGCCCAGGGACAGATATGCCTCCTTATGTTTTCATACTTTCACCTTTATTTGTGCTGTTGTTGTGTTGCCTGCGTCACAAGTCACAGATATGTTCATCTTGGTACATCGCAACGGTACAAATGTCTTACCTTTCTCTCTCTCTCTCTTTCCTTCGGTCTCCAAATTGTATTTTTCTTAAGTGAAACCATATGAAATAGTGCACTATCTTTATAGTGACATAGTAGATATCTTTACAACTCGTTTGCAATTGTATGTGTTATCCTTTTACCAGTGTGGGTTGGTGATGAAGTTGGTAGTGGCCTGGTAGTACTCTAATCTTTCTGCCTGGCTGTCTTCTCCCAGTTCAAATGCTGTGGAGTAACGAACAAAACGGACTGGTATGACGTGCTGAATGGAACGCTGCCCTCCTCCTGTTGCTCAGTCGGGACGGTCCAGTGTGTGGACGGATGGAGTGAGGTTGGTCTGCTGCTCAGCTATAAAACAAGATGTTTTGTATGACTCTCCCAGATGAAATCTGAATGTGATCCAGAAGAAAGGCCTGATGATATTATGCTTTACAGTTATATCAACAGTTATCAGCGACTGCCACTTCTAAATGCAGTTGGTTGTAGGATTGATCATTTAATAAGACTGCTGAAAGTCAAACCAGGTGGATTTCCATACAGCGCAGACATGTATTCAGAGCAAAAGTAGTGCCGCAGAGCCTCCGGCTTCCCAAAGTGCCCTGGAGTAAGATGCTGAACCTCAGACTGCCTCCAGGCCATCTGTGTAGTTGAGCTCCTGGCAGGAACGTGGCACCCAGCAGGGCAACCTCTGTGTACCAACGCTGACTTGTGGCTTTGAATAGTTGGAAGGTTAGAGTGTCGCTATACAAATGTCCTTTTGAAAAATCTATTTACAAGCATTCAAGGAAATACTCTGCAAGTAATGCAAACTATCTGATGTGCAGATTCAAATATTTATTTAGAAATAATAAAATGGCCACAAAGGACAACGTTGCTAAATGGTGTTGAGGTGCCGCGCTGTACACACTGAGCGGCTAAAGGATGGACACAATCCTCACCGTCCTCCTGTGTGAGAATCGCACACCCTCGCCCATCTGGAGCCAATCACACATAGCTTAAGAGAATCGGGCTGTTTAAAATACCCAGTAGGAGATTATCTTAACTAAAGAACGGCAGAGTAAAAGTAAAACGGCTAAATTCTCAGGAACGGACAGCAATGTGTTTCTCACGTTTCTTCATAGATTTGCTCGTTGTCTGTTGCTCAGGACAGCATTGTTCCTGTGGACAAAGGGTGAAATCTTGGAGCACAATAACATCCCTACAATGAAGCGTAATAGGACAACAGACACAGGCAGTCAGGTTATCTGACATGGTGGAAACAAGCCATCACAATATCCACATTCATTAAAAGTGCTTATGTGAAGGAGAAACTGAAAGTGAATACTGAAATGTTGCTGATGATCGCTCAGTAAACAGGAAGTAGTGTGTGCGGCAACCAACAACAAGTCTACACACTATAATTCCTACAACTTCTTGAAGATCACGAGACATGTTCCTCACGCAGAGTCTCCACATCTCTGGACAACTCGAGTACAAAGTCAGTTGTGCTAAAAGGGATGACGGCCAGAACTAACATGATACCTTTTAATGCAATCGCCTTTTAAATGGATTCCTGGACATCAGTCTTTTTATTGCTCCCATGTCTCTGTTTGTCTCTGTCTGTCCCCGGCAGCCGTGTTACCAGAAGGCCAGGCAGTGGCTGCTGGACAACATCCCCTCAGTCCTGGTGTTTGGAGTGTGTATTGGTGTTGTGCAGGTAATTGTCTTCAATAATCATTCTCACATATATTATACTGCCCAACGTTAGCAGCGGGACAGAAGAGATGTTTGTGATTAAATAAATATGGATGTCCTAATAGAAAGTGATCATCTTTGATTTACCTGGAGTGTACATTTCACTGTACATCCTGGCCGACCGTACGTCCACCCTGGTGTATATGCACTGTACTTGTATTTCTCTTTTCTAGTCTTCACACCCCTGAAAGGTCTTTAACCCACACGCATTGACACACTGATGACAGGAGCTACCACACAGTGAGCCACCTGCCCATCAGCAACCAACATCAATCTATACATCCATAAACCCCCACGTATCACGTACTGTCTGGCTGTTTCAAACAGGATCACGTACACTGTACATAGTGATTTTATCTGATCTATATATATTGATTTTATCTGACCTGCTCTCTCGTCAGATCCTTGCCCTGTTGTTCTCCCTGCTGATGTACTGTCAAATTCTGTGTGCTGAGAAGAACCTGGACTGAGACCAGCTGTTCACAGGCCCCTGATGAGGGTACCCATCACTAACTCCTCTGAGATCTCAAGGCCCTCAAACCCTCAAAAGCCCAATCCAGACTGTTGCTGCGCTGCTCTGTGGTTTCAGGTCCAACACGGTGCTTTTGGCTATAAAATGTAAACTTTCTAAAATGCTAATGTGGCTCCATCCAGCCAATGGACACTAGCGTACGGACCCAGCCAGTACTGACAGACTGAGGGTTGATTTCACCGGCACGGGGATCATTATGACAGTTATGCCAAATCAGTGACGTCACACAGTGAAATACGATAACGCAATGCGAGGGGAAGTACTGGGTCCGCTGTCATGTCCCAGCAGTATGTGTCTGTCCGTACTAGTATTTTGTTTCCAGGCTCTGCGTGTAGGAAAAAGTAGTGACATTTTCTTATTGATTCGGCTTATCATATTTTTAACGAGATGCATTTTCTTACTCAGTACGGTCACTGACTATTCCAAAGGTCATTATCGGGATTCCAAGATCTGTCCAGCATGTCAACAAGAAACAAAAGAAAACATTTTATAAAGCACGGAGTTCACTTTCTTGATACCTTTGAGCCTTGTATGTATCGCTAAACTGTAGGAGCACTTTGAACATTCTGTGAAGTTCAGTGACTTTAGGTTTCTTTTATTTCCATTTGTTTCATCTACTCATGACAGCGACACAATACTCCCATGGTAACGCTCTCATACACTCGTTTATCCAACCTTTTGTAACAGGACCATTTTCCATTGGTAAAGTAATACAGTATCGACTAGTCAGGCCAGTACTGTACACTAAGTATTGGTCCCTTCTGTCCCCGGCTGGGGGCGTGGCTTACGTGTGCGTGTAAAGAAAGGGGAGGCGGCTGATTGCTGCTGTAATCGCATCACTTATATCGGAACAATAGAAAAGCAAAGAACGAAACTAAAGGCTCAAATCCAAAGAAAATGAAGTTGGATTAAAGGATGGCCGCCCGGATTCCTTTTGCATGTCCTTTTTTTTAAAGATGTTTCTGTAACAAACAGGTCAAATAAAGATGCTGACAAAACATACTTAGTTCTTACATATATAAAAATACATATATCTTGTGAATAAATATCTGTCCTACAGTCGGTTTCTTGTAATTTACTGCACTTTGTGGTAATGTAGTTATTTAAATGTATAACAGAGCATGCTTTATAATAAACACCATACAGACGTTCAAAGTGCACGTAAGACCAGTATGTGTGTTCTTTACAGCTTAATAACATGACTTCCAAACTACTTTAGGGCCAGGTGTTCGAGGTTTTGGGTTATGTATTCATAATTTATCATGGGACATTTTGTTTTGAAACAGTGGAAGCAGGCCTGATTAGTGCAGGACACATCAGAGGAACCAGTGGTAGAACCTGGTTCTATTGAAGAGTCAGTTCCCCAAAAAGCTAAAGACCCTTTTCTTTAATAAAACGATTCATTCGCAATCACTCTGCTGGCCCAGCCATCACCACAATGAATCTGTAAATGAATGTAAGTCAAATGATTGCAGTACCTGTAACAACCACGGGCAGTAAAAACATGAACATTGATGCCTGTGAGGGAAGCTGCTGCAGGATCTTCAGGAGAGCATCACGCGCGTCAGGGAGGCAGCTTGAATACAGTACAAGTCAAAAGTCTTTTTCCACAGGGACATCGATCCACAGGGACCTGCAGTAACCTGTAACTGCAACAAGAGGAACTCACTGAGGTAACATTTCACTCCTCGCAAACTGATCAGCAGGTCCTTGAATTAAATCATTTAGACAGCTACTGTAAAAACATGAAGCCTCTGTCACAGAACGTGGATCCCACATGGACATGAAGCAAAGGGCATTCTGGACTAATGTCACAGTCCAGATGAGACTCAGTGTTTTTGGCGCGTCCACAGCTCAGGTTGACCAGTAGGCTCAGTCGTACTCCAGTGGCTCCTCCAGATCTACCAAATTCTCCTGAAGAGGAAAAAAAGGTGTGTGATAAGCATAAATAAAGGCAAATAAAGCTTAAACTATACTGGACTACTTACATACATCTCAAAGCCATGACTTGTTTAAGTTAAGCCACTTACAGGTCAGTCTTGTGTGGGTGACTGCTGACACATTGCAATGGACATTGGGGACTCTCTGTGTCTCTGTGTCTTAGCCTTTCCCGTGTTTTAGTTCAGATTATCATTACACGCATTGTGTCTTTTACAAATAAACTTCCACCTGGCTTGACTTTGGTTGTAAGTTTGGCGAGCGTTTTTTCAAAGCTCTGCAGAGACACATTGGTCTCCTGTGACCATGTCCTCACCTTCATGCTGCTGGTTACACATACCCTTGGGTTTCGAAAGCGGGGAGGGCAAGATCCTCCAGCGGAGACATTACAATCTAGCATGGGGTGTGCAGGCACAGGACAGGAGGCTCTAAAGCGGGTCCTAAACCCCCCAGAACGCCCATGCTAGAGACCTAGGATCATAATAGCATCACCAGTGCCTCCTCAAACTTTCCTGTAAGGCTTTTGGTGTCCTCCACGTCACTTGATTCTTATGTGACCACTGGTCTCTTTGTAAGACATTGTGTTTGTGTAGAATGTTCTGATGGACCACTCACCCATCCTCCACGGCTCTTGACCCAAGGGGCAAAGCTCTCCATGTAGCGCTCTGTGTAGCCTTCCATGCGCTGGACTCCGGTGGCTGTAACTATCCTCCGTGAGACCTCCATGGTGACAGCCATGCGCCGCAGCGTTGGACTGGCTGAGGGCAGCTGGGCCGGTGACCCGGATACCAGGCTGCTGCCAAAAAAGTCTAGAAGCTTGGAGTAGGATGCATAGGAAAGCCGGGCCAGACTCTTCCGTAGGAAGGGGTTCGACTCGATCTGTCAAGGTTTGCATGACATACACAGTGCCCGTTTAGCTGCCCATATTTGACAAATGCATAATAATGCAGCTTTATAGTTTATGATGAACCACTTCCTACCTTAAGGTTGATCGAATCTCCCTCCAAAGACAGCACCTGAGCAAGCTGCTGCACCACTGCCTCTTTCTCAGACCCTGCTGAAAGAAAAGATGCACATCTGGGGTCATGGAGGGTAGCTCAGGGTATCAAACCTGGAGTCAGGTTCGGATACTAGATCTGGTTATCTAGATCAGAGGTGTGCGGAGGTACTGCAGGGGGGTCGCGATCATTTTTTTTTTTCTCCACAAATTGAATTGTCTTTAAATACACATTAACATGAATCCAACATATTGTAGCTAACGGACCAACTGATGGAGAAGACGTTATCTTTCCGTCCCACAGGAGCTCATGCACATACGACAGCACAGGCACCAGCCAGGAACCAGGCGGATCAAGTGAGCTAAGTTGTGTTGTGTCCTCTCTCCTCTCCGTCACCTTCTCGGTCTGTTCCCTCAGTCCCCTCATATTATTGTCCCTTGAATTATGTGTGTGTGTGTGTGTGATTACCTGGTGAAGGCTGGTCTGTGGGACTCAGTTTCTTTATACTGGTGGACCTCAGGGCAATCTTTTCCAGTTTCTCTGCTACTTCATCATAGAACTCGGGAGGGTGGGCTACAGCAACACATCATAATACTACATTCAACTTTGAACGTATCCCTCTGCTGCAGTCATACCAATAAATATGCAGTGTGTATGTTGACAGTTTGCTTACACCTTATTGTAGTGCAGATTCAGACCACATGCACATTTAACGTAGACTTAGCAGCAGATAAATGCACTGCACCTACGGTGTGTTGTGATGGAGGAGCTTACTGGGGGAGATGAGGACCGGGGGAGACTCTACGTCTTTGTTGATTGCCAATGTGGAAGGCCTCTTGGGAGGAGTGTCAGAACCCTCTTTCTCCGCTTTGTCTAACTTTCTCCTGAAGAATTTGGAGAGCTTTTTTTTTAGCTTCTTTTGCGTCATCTTCTTATTTTGTTTCTTCTCACTGTCGTCTTCTTCTGACGTAGAGGAGGGGAGTTTGCCAGCATCCTGTGGAAACAGGTTCACGGGTTGCTTACATCAAAAAGTGTTATCTCCCCCCAGAGCATGAATGTGAAGAATACATGCGATCATCTGCATATTGGACAATGAGAAACCGGTGTAATCAGTGGTACAGAGACCATGCTTGGCACCTGGTGTACCAGTGGGAACCCACTCACCACTGCAAGGCCAGTGCCATGGAGGGATTGTGTAATGCTGGTTTCACTGGGCCTTTAAGGGGGGGGGAAGAGGACTTGTGGGCGGATGCTCTGGCAAGTGTTAAAAAAATACTCAAAGTCATAAAGGCCTGTCACGATATACAATATACTTATCGGACAATACAGGAAAGTGAGTGCGTTCATTTTTGGTGGTGCGTTGTTCATCTACATATAAATGAACGTCCATCGGGCTGTGCTCGTCTGCCTCATTGTTGGAGGCGGGGCTTAGGCAGCGCCTCCAAGCGCACAGAGCGGACACCGACAGGAAGGGAACGCGTGAACCCGCCGTGGTGTGAAAAAAGTAAACTAACTCACTTAAGACACATCCAACAGGTCTGAACTAGTGCCGGGTTAAAGGTCCCCGGGTTAAAGGTCCCCGGGTTAAAGGTACCCGGGTTAAAGGTCCCCGGGTTAAAGGTCCCCGGGTTAAAGGTCCCCGGGTTAAAGGTCCCCTCTTCTTGCACTGAGCCCGATGCTTCTCCCCGCTCCGTGTCCCTTGCACTTATTATTATTATTATTTTCTTTATTTAGAATATATTTTTTCACATTCCCAATTCTATATAATATATATAATGACGAATAAATCCTTCTGTGTTCGTCGACAGACCGTACCTGCATTATTATGCTATTATATTGTCATTATGTAATCAGGGTCTGAAAATTGCAATAATTTGGGTTATTAATGTTGGTGCAATAATAGGACAACAAAAGCCCCATAAACTGCAGCCACAGTTCATAGAGGTAGGAATTCTTTGGCTTAAACCTTTGGGATACCAACAGAAGAAGAACACCTGGTCACTTGACTGTAGAGACCAAGAACTGGACAGACTGACTGACAGATGGACCGAACAGTGTTACCAAGACCCAGCCGCAAGGGGCCTAGATCTGAGCTTTTTTTTTAGGATACAGAGCCGACTAAAACACACATTTCCTTACATCGGTTTGATCTCTCAGGTGGGACACTCTCGTCCTACTGTCTCTGTCCAATGAGCCTCTAGGGTCTTGGGCAGGACAACGTTTGCTGTTCTGATGGGGAAGCTGCTTTATCAAATCCTTGAATCCAGTCCTCTTCTCATCTGCTGAATTGGACTCATGGGCTTGACGATCCCGGGCGTTCTTCGTCTTTGGCTGTGGCTTGGAGCTATGGAAACGGATAGTCTGGTGAACAGGGCTGGTAGACGCTTCGAGCATCTTAAAAGGTTGACTGGTAGCACACTCAAAGTAACTCAAAATCATTTGCAAGATCTTTCCACTAGTGTGTATTTAACGACTTTCCTGGAATTAAGATATATAAGATTTGCTGGTTGAGGAACTCCAAAGAACGAGCCAGAGTCTCATTAAGTGAAAAACCGATAAGTGTGTTGTCGAGAACAGGATCACAGGCATCTCACCTGTACTTGTTGTGCTCTTTGTAGGCCCCTCCCACTGGGCCAGGCCTCTCATTCAGAGGGGTGGAGAGGGCGCGATGGAGGAAAGCTTGGATCACCAGATGAGTCTCAGCCTTGATCTCCACCAGAGAGATGGAACAGACAGAAGAGACAGAGGAAGGGCGTCCTGCAGACCCTGACATCACTAAGACCAGGGCAAACAAAAGGTGCTTTTATTATTCTGTTATACACGAGAGAACATCCTCGAAATACAGCATACGATAGGTGTTGGTACAAGCATTAAACCAGTAATGTTCTGTGTTCTATATTTTTGTTATATTATTTTGAAGAACGGAAAACAGCAACACTGGCAATTACACGTAACAGACAGACATACTTCCCCTTATTAAAGGGGACGTATTATGAAAATTCCACTTTTAGTGCTTCTACACGTTAATCTGGGTATCTGGCATGTCGACCGACCCAAAAAAGACTCGATATGTTATGGTTCTTGTACCAGAAACCTCATGCTTGAGTGACTGAGAATGAGCTTCCTTATCATTCTCTCGTCACAATGTAATGGTTGTCTCTACGTGGCCTTGTCCCCCCCCCCCATCTCATCCCCCCGCCCCCCTACACTCACTATAGATGCTGTGGCGTTTTGGGTGTAGTGGCTCACTCACAACACGGAGGGGAAAGGACGTACGGGCAGGAAGCCTTTTATTCTTGTTTGAGGAGCACAGTGAGAAGACCCCCCCCCTAACCTGACCAGTCCACAACACCAGAACACCTGCCTCCCCCGATCGCCTGCATTTAAAGGAACAGGCACTCAAGACAGGTCACTCTGTGGAGGGCCGTTTCAGACGGGGTAAATAGGTGCTGTTTTAAATGATTCTTGTGGTATTTTGACCGACGTGTGTTACAGACCCAAGGAACCATAACCAGGGATGCAAACGCATGTATGGTCAAAAAAGAGAGGGGTAACTGAAGCCCTCGCCCCGCGTCAAATATCCATATACTTGATATGGACTGCGGTCGACGGTTGGCGTGAAAATCACTGTTGATATAATTATATTATATCAGTAGTAGCCCCGCCCTAAATCATAGCCGGATGTCTGGTCTATTTGACTCTAAATAGATAAGAACTAACCAAATGGACCACATGCTGTATGTTAAGCATGTTTACAATGTTTACTGAAGGAAAAATCCAGAGGAGCAGAGCAATTTTCTCATAGACGTCTATGGGACCAGAGGAGTGACCCCTGGTGGTCACTACAGAGAATGCAGCTTTAAGACATCAGGAATTTGAATTACATACCATAATTATCCATTCAATAGTTGATGAAATATTTCAGTCTGAACTTACATGGCAGATTGATCCATCAAATTGCTGCAGCTATTGGGTCTAAACCATGTATGAGTTTTCAGCTGGAGTGAATGTCTACACAGTATTAAAACAAATAGAAATCAATGAAGTGAAATGAAAACGATCAACTTTAAAAACTCACTGTAGACGTGTATGAAAAACTGGTTGTATTGTCAGTTTATTGTGTCTCGAGGAACTCCACTAAGTGAAAAGCTTTGGGTTGAATTAATCATCAAGCTTCATGAAACATCCTGCCCACGACGTAGTGAAAGTGAAATTAACAGACGGACCTGGACAATCGAGTCTGTCAACATTCCCTTCTATTATAGTCCTTCTCAATCGGGTCAGTTTCAGTCATGTCTGAAACCTAAATCCACTTTTCTTTAAGTTCATGGATTTATTCAGATTTTGATATTCTTTCAGACACAGAAAAGTATTGATTTGAATAATCTGCTTCTGCATGAATCAAACAGGCAACACAGTGTGTAAAAGTCCCTGCATACCTTTGCAAGGACCGGTTAGCTCTCTTTATAGTGGAATCTCGTCTGCAGAAAGTGACTTCAGGCCTTCAGAATGAAAGGTAGGAGAGCCTAAAACCAGGAGCTCTCTAGTCCAGACTTCAGACATCTGACCGCTGTCTGTGAGCAACCAAACCCTTCCATCACGATAGACGATAGTTAATTCACTGCTCATGTCATTTAGGTGTGTCGTTATGTGTCGTTACAAATAACTGTTTTCTTGTGCTTGCCTTTCAATCACTTAACTTCAAAGACTAATAACCAATATATCAATCACAGTTCTATGGATCCACTAGATACCAGGCGGTGGTCCTTAATGTGTAAAACATGACTCATTTGTTTGTATAAATATCATAAGAACTTAATCTCCAGAGACGCTGTACCTTATAGAAACCAGTCCCTATTATCAGTCCGATGTTATTCTGTGAACAGTGTTCATACAGAGGACACTTCATTATGCTGACAGAAATCCTGTAGATTGTTGGAACAGTGAAGAATTTGTCCAAACAGAAAAGGGAAGAAAAGACCAGGCTCCTCACCAGGTTCCTCACCAGGTTCCTCACCAGGTTCCCAGGTGTATGGAGGGTGTACGGGTGGTGTATGGGGGGTGTACGGGTGGTGTACGGGTGGTGTAATGTGGGGGGTCGGGTGGTGTATGGGGGTGTACGGGTGGTGTACGGGGGGTGTACGGGTCAGCCGACCAGGACGTCAGCCAGCGGACCCATGTTGGTGGCACAAGTGAAACCAGAAGCAGACGCTGGAGGAAGCTCGCCAGCTGACGCTGTTTCTATTGATACTTTAGTCCACTAGTTGCTTATTAGTTGAATAAGTTGTGGAACTACCGCTCCGCTACTGTCTCAGCACGAGCCATGATCTTCTTCTGACCTGCTAACCATCTCAACACTTTAACCACAGCGCACGAAAAGGGTGTTTGCTCTCAAATCGAGGCTCAGAAGACTCTGCCAGCTGCACTTTCTTGTGTCCCTTCATCTGAGGTTCCTGCTCAGCGCTCCGTGCACTGAGGGAGAGGAAACATCTGCCAAAGCAGCTGTTCGAGGAGAAGACATAGATTCCTATACCGATTGTATGGAGAACCTAGACGAGCTGCGGTCACATGATGAGAAGAACGCGTAAGAACGCAGCTAACAACGACCAATGAAGACAGGAACCTCCCACGGTGAGAAGCGACCCGACCGGGAGAAGCGGGAGCAGGAAGAAGGTGGCGGGACGGGAACCGGGGACGGTGAGGACCAAACACCAGGAAATAGCTGCGTTCAGCAACGGGAGCTCTCCCATTAGCCTCCCGACACCTCCGAAACACTTCCCGTTGACTTCGCGGACACTTTACCAGAGACACACACGGAGGTCCAGTTAAAGACGTCTTCTTCCTACCGCGTTCGTGTGTTTCGGCGAGTCTCCCCCGGACCGCCGCTGCCTCGTGTCCCGGGTCCCGGGTGTGCGACCGGCTGCACGCTGCGCGGACGGACTGCGCTCACGCAGACCACATCACAGAGTGCGCCTCTACTGCGGGCGTTACGGTAGAGAGACGCCGCCCCGCGTCATCCGCACTAGGACCTCCTCCAGCTGATCCACGCCCATCGATACTGTCACGGTGTCTTACTGCGCAGATTCTGAGGAAATCACACTCTGTAAAAACACGATACATGGTCATGTTTTTCCTTCAGATCCTTCAATTCCACCGCATTCGTGTTGGCAGGAACGTCCTCTATGATCATGTGTATTTCTATATGTGATATTATACTGTCAGCAGCGGTTTGCAAACTCAAGAATGCCCACTTTGAAATCTGAAAATCTTCTGCGGCCCACCCAAACCTTCAATCACAACTCTGGTCAAAACATAAACTAGGGATGATTAAATTACCTTAAGAATTTAACCGATTAAAAATGTATTAAACGACAATGTATGTTTTGTATGCCAATTTCTCCGGAGCTCATACATATTTACTTTAATACTACAAGAGGTCGCCCCATTTGACATATTTTTATATTAATTTCAAACTTTTCAAAATTGAAAATTAAAAACATTTTATTTATTTATTGTAAATGACTTCTCACGCCCCCCTGCAGTACCTTCGCGGCCCACGCTTTGGGAATCGCTGCTGTACAGTTTGAGAAAAAGAACGATAGTCATCAAAATGACATTGCATACATTATTTCATCTTAAAGCTGCTCTATAAAAGGTTAGACTCAAATTCCACTTGCTTTTTTTCCAGAGTACTTTTCGCCGTACAAATACAGGATCGTGTACATGCACAACATTGTTTTTTTGCTTGTTGTGTTTGGGGGTGTAGTTGGTGGACCTAAATGCACAGCAGTTTGATTTCTAGCCAATGATTTTATTTCCTATACAACAGGAAAAACAGAAGACAAGCGAGGCAAATAGTCAACGGGGGAACAGAAAGTGCTCCTCAGGCTCAACTGGAGTCGGGAGGGAAACTCCACCGACGTTTTGTGGTCTGGAGGGATAGGCAGTGTTCCTGTGTGGAAACCTGAGGTGCGACGTCATAACCAGAGCCCGATTACAATGAGTCATGTGTCCTCAGCGGTACTCCGGGGGTCCGACAGTGAAGGACAGGGGGAAAAAAACCACGCAAACTGGTCATCAGTTCTATGTCAGCTGCTAGGCGTCAGGTAAAGATCTATACCTTTTCTTCCAGATTTTCAAGGGCCAGCGAGAGTTCACTGCTTGACCTTTTCAACAGTTTTATGTCTATGGGCTGAGCCTTGATTGGATAGAGACAGGCCCTCGAGCGGCACCGACCAAGCGTTCTCACGTACACCACGTTGCCCCCGACCAACCGCAATTTGGCACTGGGCTCTTCCCTCTACTGCCACGATATTTTAAAGTTATTTTCCCCTGCGCTTAGTAAGATGCTTAAATTCAGAGGGTTACCTTGTCTGATCTGAGATGTTGGTCGGAGGGTGGCTGCGTGTCTAGCCCCCACCGGAACGGGGGAGATGCTCACAAACTGCTGGAGCGTCAGAGGAGGGTCCCACTGTAACCCACGCCAACCCCCAGCGGCCACCCCCGGACCAACGCCGCATCGACCAGAAGTCCACCGGCAGTGAGATCCGCAAATGCTGATTCAAAGGTGCCCCGCATCCGCCCCCGATGGTCGGGTAAAAGCTGCGCCCAAGGAGGAAAAAGGCCTCAACAGGGCATCCCGGGGTCTGCACGTAGGAGGACAATGGACCCACTGAGCTGACTTTAACTTACTTACTGTGAAAATATACGTGGGCATAGAGGAGGTCAACTTAAACAGGAATCAAGTATAATTACAATGTAACCTTTTATTGATCTGGTTTCAAAGCTATGGTCATTTTTGCTGATTTTATCTTTAAATTTCTCAAAAACTGTAAAGTAAATATTACATTGCATGTAATTTAGCTGACACTTTTATCCAAAGCATTTTTAACCCATGGCTTTTAAAAAATTTGCCCGGGGAGCAATTAGGGGGTAGGTGTCTTGCTCAGGGACACTTTGACATGGGACATGGGGGCAGCCGGGCATTTTGGGGTGTATACGCCCATTTACTGTAACGCCTTGAATAGAATTGCATCTCATTTTGAAATGTGGTCCACATGACTGTAGTGTGGACGGGGAGGAGCGTGTCCTCGGTCCGGGCAGCACAGCGGTGTGAAGGGAAAGGACCTGTATGGTAACGTTACTTCATGTTACAAATCACTACACACTGGCCTGAAGGGTTCCATCTCTCTTGTTGATGAACTCTATGTTTGAAAAACACAACAATTGTTGTGAATATCGTAAATGTATCATCATCAAACCAAATCAGTCAAAACTCTGCTACATGATATTTACTCAATACTGCCATGGTTAATGTATAGGATAGGATTTTCTGGTGTTTTGACGTCATACTCCACTAGATGTCCCTTCAGCTCCATCTTTCTTTCCTCCGTTAAATTCATTTTTTTCTGGCCCAAAATCACAAATGACACATTTCCAAGCAGATTAGATTAAGATTTTGAATTTAGAGAATTATCCAAAATAAAAGTTCCATCATTCGATGTTCAAAATGAAAATACTTTGTAAATACTGTACAAATACAATTTATTTTATTAATGATTTTTCTGAAATAAAAGTTGTATATTTGAATGTTTAAACAACCAGCAAACTTTGGTCGAGCCTTACGGGGTCTAATGAGTATTAAACAAGCCCTTTTTAAATGGGCCTAGAGGTCACCAGCTGCTGAATCATTATCACTCACAAGAAGTTAAGAGGCCATTCCACAAAGCAAACAGACAGTTTAACATCTTATTCATTATATTAATTAATATAATATTCAGTAAATTACATAAATGCCATATTGTAAATATTATACATATACAATATAAATATGAATATCATATAATAAATATACTCTAATAAAATATATATACATATATGTATTAAGATGTCTCTATGAACCTAGTTTGTCAGTGTGTTGAGGAAAGACCAACTCGAAAGCCGCACAAAACTTCACACAATTAATTATTTTGGATAAAATGTGCCCGTTTCCATCCGCGTCCTGTTGTCCTGCGTTGCGTTGAGTCCGTCGTCCAGCTACCAATGTTATCGCTCCCTGATACGCCGAGCTTAATGGAATTATCCGTATGAAATGTGCTTCATGTATCTGTCCCGACTTCATCCAGCTAGCTAAACCTTGCGGGTGCAGCAATCTCTGGATGTGTGGCTTCCCTTTCATGCCAGTCCTGATCCGGGTCCAGTTGTTTTACCTTCTAGTTGTTTTTTCAAACGGGTCTCGGAGGAGAGGTTTCACCAAGTTTGGGTTGGGTCGTCTTTTAAAGAATGCTTCTCCTGCTCGCTGTAGACCCTTTTTGCCTACAAAGTGAGGTCCCCTTGATTGGTGTTTCGAGTTTGTTTTGACACGTTTAAATACTCCTTAAGACATCTCCACTTGTCTTTATTGTCCTTTATTTTGTTCATTAGTGACAGCATCAAATTATCTTAATACATGCCTCTTCCACGGTCGCCCTGTCACGTTCAGTCGGTCACGTTCAGTCGGTCACGCTCAGTCGGTCACGCTCAGTCGGTCACGCTCAGTCGTTCAGTCCTTCACGCTCAGTCGGTCACGCTCAGTCGTTCAGTCCTTCACGCTCAGTCGGTCACGTTCAGTCGGTCACGTTCAGTCGGTCACGCTCAGTCGGTCACGCTCAGTCGGTCACGTTCAGTCGGTCACGCTCAGTCGGTCACGCTCGCGCTCCTCGCTCACGTTCCACGGTCAGAAAACTATTTAGCTTCCCACAAACCCAACCCAGTGCCAGTTAATCCACCTGATAATGTTGACCTTGCTAAGTTATATGTCTCATATCTTTAATCAGTAATTGGTAAACTGCTTCTTAGACCTGCCTCTTTGGGGTGAGGACCCAGCCCAGTTGACACATGCAGACAGGCGGAGAGGACGTGCAGGAAAAGCAGATATTTCAAAAAGACAAATACACAAATATTGACAATTTGAAAAATGTATTTTTAATATAATAAAACTAATTATAATTTTGTTTTGTGGTTCAAGGTGGGACCAGGCCGCATGGCGCTCTACGGGCCAGCGGCCACTGACTATTATGCAGCAGGGCGCTTTGGCCATATGCAACTTTATTATAATTACCATGAAGGATTCAAGTCAGATCATTAGATCAACAAACTGTTTCATTGAGCCAAATGAAGCAAAGTGGTTTGAGGGTGTTGCCGTCCCCATGGGGCATCACAGTCTCTCAGGGTACAGGGTACGAGGGAGGGGGGACCCATGAGGACTTCATGTGCTGCACCAGCTCAGCCTTTATTCGTCAGACTGGGACCAAGCAGCACATCAGGTTTATTTATGTAGCCCAAAAATACATAACATTAACCATGCTAATTTAACAAGATGCTACTTTGCAGAGCTTCAACTGAATTTGATGACTGAAATGTGACTCGCGCACACTGGAAGTCTCATCTGCTCATTGAGTTAACATTCCGTTTGTCCCAAAGTATTTGTAATAAAACAAAAACCAATTAGCATAAACGCTTTCAAGTTTACTCTTCACTCACAAGACACTAACATACATAGAACTAACACAAAAACACGTAAAGAGGTTTTCTATTCGTAGTCATTTATTGATTGCATTTGTTCCACAATGAACACAACGCCGTCCTGTAACTCAATTAGTGAGACTATTGTTTGGACCAAAATGTTAAGTTCATATGAGAAAATAAACATTGTTTCTTAATAGTATTTACAAGCGCAGATCACTCATGAAGAGAAATAGACACAAAGGTTCACGCAGCACCTGTAGTCCTTGGCACAGCCCCCCCCAAACCTGTCCAGCGTCACCGTGGTAACGACACTGGTACAAGGATTGGGAGTGACCAGACCAAGGAAGGAAGGGAAGAAGACTAGACAAGTCAGCAAGTACGCTTCTGAATCCTGAATGTGATCTGAACAGCAAGTTACCTTCAAAGTATGTGGAACCAAGTAATAGGTGAACATGTTCATCCTTTCAATGAGGAATTAACGTTAAACAAGATATAAATAGAAGGTGCATATATAGTATAATATAGAATATAAAGTTAGTTCAGTTGTCTCACCTCCTCCGACACAAAGCCATTTCCTCTCTGCGGCGAAGCGTCCAACCCTCAGTCCCCTGAACTCATCGCCTGTCTTCTGTGTGCCCGTGTCTCGCTGTCCACACCCGGTCCCTCTTCTATGCTCCTGTGATGCCCCCCCTTCCTCACCCCCAAAAATCACTGTTCATCTGGAGCCAATAGGGAGCCAGGCGGCAGGGTGAGGCACTTCCTCTGTGACAGGAAACTAACAGCAAACACCCAGAAACCACGGCCCGGGGGGGGGGGGGTTAATGAGACAAGGGGAGATAAAGAGATGCAGATGTTTAATGGCTCTGAGAAGAGTTCTAAAGGTCGGGAAGAGGTCAATACCTAACATCTAGAAATGCAAAGTAGTTTGACTTTAGCCGTACATGAGTCTACGTCATTGTACTGTATGATTTTCCTGCAGTACATTGTTGTACTAACTGATAAATCCACTCACATCTCCGTATTGAGGACTGTGCGTGAGATACATTGGTTCTGTCCTCACAGGTATCTTAACATTAAATAACACGTTCCAGGGGTCCGTTCATGCTTCGTGCATGTGCACATTGGTCAGCGTGTGTGTGACGTCTGTGTGCAGGCCACCGTTGTGGACAGAAGGCAGTTCCGTTCCGCACTGCAGTCCGGTTGGTGGTTTGCACCTCAAGCTGATTTGCTAAGAAGGACAAAAATGCCAGAAGAGAGAGAGAGAGCTTGAGGAGATATTTAAAAGACCCAACTGGCATCGAAGTCCTGGCAAACAATGTAAAGTGCACATGGAATAAAGAGTCAGGAAATGCAAATGCCTCCTCAGATGTACTACCTCGGTCCGTCCCAGATGGATCATCTTGTTGATGCTGCTACAGGCTCTGTGAGAGTGGCGCTGGACGCTATTGCTCCTCTGGAAAGAAGAATGGCAACAAGAAGGAGGTTTGCTCCTTGGTAAACCCTCAAACCTGCAACTTGAAACCGACTTCAAACTCAGCTTAAACTTAAACTGCAATTCTTATGGCGTTCCACCAAATCAGAAGGTTCTAGGCTAGTTTGGCAAGACAGCCTTAAAACATAAGAAGGCTCTCCGTAACGCAAGAGCATCTTATTACTCATCATTAATAGAGAAAAATAAAAACTACTCTAGGTTTCCGGGTCTCAACTGTATCTGTTGCTCAAGACAGAGACGGACCAGCTTGTTAGACTTTAAGAATGTCTTGAAGACATCAAAACGTGGATGACCTGCAACTTCCTGATGCTAAACTCAGAAAAAAAAGTTATCCTGATAGGCCCAGAGCGCCTTTGAAGCCAGCGGTCACGCGATACACTTTTTATGGATGGAATGGAATAGCTCTGGTACCCAGCAGCACCGTCAGGGATCTGGGAGTTCTCTTCGACCAGGATTTGTCCTTCGACTCTCATATAAAGCGCCCACTGGGAAGGTCCACCTGAGCTGCTCCGGGCCAAGTCTTCTACCAAAATACAAGTCCCTTTCTGCGTTCTTCCTCTTTGGATTCTGTCCAATAAAGCAAGTATTAAAGGTACACAGACCACGCTGGTGTCACAAATACGGACTGCGGGCCAACTCTGGAACACTCAAACAGCACATGTGTAGGTATGTGTAGGTTTATGTATTCTCGCCCTTAATAGTCAAATAACCAAATCGATACAAGAAAAATGACATAATTATACCGGGTTGTCTAGATTTTGTTCGACTGGTACTCTTTCCATCACGTCATCTCAATATGATGATGACATGTGATGACACATTTCTTACAGATTTTCTGAAAAAGTCGTGTGAATGTGTACGTGTGATCTCTTCTTGATTAGTTGGAGCTGAAGTCCAGCTGATTAGTGTTGATGATGGGAGGTGATCGCAGCGGGTGGGCAGGGTGCAGATGGAGTGATAGACGCGGGCTCATGTTCAAAGAGTGCAGATAAGGAGGACTGCTCCTGATAGCTGCTGGGCGGGCTCTCTATGGGGAATAGTTGTTTATGGAGGAGGTCTAGTCCCACTTATTATCTGCTGTAGTATACTTCACCACCCTCCCCACATCGTTACCTCCGGACTTTATACTGTGCCAGCACAGCAACCCGACAACCTGAATGTGACCTTATATGGTCCGTACTGGAACTGCTGCTGTGATGACTGCAGACTCAACAGGGACTTGATATGCTCTGTTTATGTGTGCAGGAACATGGGGCTCTGCCCTGGTTAAAACGCAACACATCACGCTTGTGGAATAGAATGATGTGTTTTTGGTTCCTTTCTACTGAAGACAGCACACATGCACGGCCAGGCCAGCAGCCCTTCGTTCTGTGCATCTGTACGTGCAGTGGGTGTAGGGGTCTACAAACAGGAAATCCACAGTCACATAGGCAGGAAATGCTGCGTTCACACAGAAATAAACAGTTGTTACAGGTTCTTCTAGCAGCACTGCTGCTTCAGGGTTTTTTCCTCCAGAGAGTTGATCTGATGCACATGCACAAAAGACGGACCCCGATCAAACATACGACATCCTTTATCCCAGAACAATAAGCGCTTTGTGGAGCCAAAGCTTAATTCAATTTCCAGAACGTCTCGAATCATAAATGTCCTGCTGAACTTTGAGAAACAGAAACGGCACAAGGCAGCTTGAATATTTGTATTTCATTTAAGGATTTTTAGGTGGAGGAGCAAGACTTTGAGGGTTGAATATTTTCACTTTCACTTTCCAGGTCACACAGTGGTAATTGATAGTGGTTAAACCTAAACACAAAGTGAAATGATACAAATTGAAGACAGTTTGGTGGTCTCTGTGAAGGAATGGTTCATTGTCCAGTTTGTGTTTATAGAAACTAAAATCCTTCAGAGAAAGGTTTTCTGCTCACAGATTTAGGAAACGTTTTCAATGTTGTAGTTAGCTCATATATTAAATGGTACATTTTGATGCCATGGTGTTTTACACAATCTGACCGTAAAGTGTGATAACATTTACTAGTGCATTCAGTTCAGCACGATGGCCGCGCAGAACCCGCCAAACCCTTTGAGTTACAACGGTTTTGGATTGCTATCTATCCAGTTTTCAGATCTTTGTAGTGGCTTCCTGCTGTTGCCTCTGCTGCTGTGCTGTCCAGGCCCCTCCAGTGGTCTGGGACGGGTCTGAAGTCCCCAGAGACGCACCTGAAGGAGGAGAAACGCCAGTGCCTTTTTATGCATCAAGTATCTGGAACCCTTAGTTCTTTTAATCAGGAGTGAAAACGTTTCCACTTGTAAACATTCATTCAGCCAGATTTGTCTTGTCTTATTGTAGCTCATCGGTATCTCTTACCTCATTCGTGACAGTATTTTACAATCGTAATCGCGTCTGTTATGTGTGTAGTGACCAGAAGGTGGCAGTAGAGCGACATGAAGGATTCCAGGCGCCGTCAAACGAAAAAGAATAAGCGGAAGCGGAGTGACGGAAGCAGTTGAAGCAACGAAGAAGAAAAATAAGCCGTGTCGATGTTTTGTTGTTAGCTTCGCAAACCTCACAGCACCACTCGTACGTACGTTGAAAGCTGTTATTATTCTAATGTGACGCATTTGTTTTGTATGAGTATCGATGCTAACCCTAAAATAACAGCGCGGAACATTAACGTGACCTCTTTCAGGCTCCCGCAGAGCGCGATGACTCGCCACGGAAAGAACTGCACGGCCGGAGCGGTGTACACGTACCACGAGAAGAGGAAGGATACCGGTGAGGCGCGCGCTCACTCCGCGGACACCGCTAAGCTGCCGGACACGTCGTGAGACTTGTCCCCGGCCTTTAGTCGCTGTGAGACCCGGCTGCCTTCTCGAAGCAGCTCGTGCGTGCGCGCGTGTAATATCTTTGCTGCGTGGCTCCGTGATTAAACAGAGTCGTTCTCCAATCAGGGGTTCGATCCCCAGCTGCTCTATGTCGATGTGTCCTTTGGCTAGCTCCTTAACCCCTGACTCCTAGCTTGTTCCTACAGTGTGTGTGTGTGTGTGTGTGTGTGTGTGTGTGTGTGTGTGTGTGAGATGACATGGAGTGTTAGAGGTTTGACTAAAAAACAGATGTACTGTCCATTCAGGTATGAATTGTCGTCTCAGATAGCAGAACACACACTTAATGTGAAGTCTTGGTTTTGAAGGACTTATATCCTGCATTTAGTTTCTGAACAGAAAATGATTAATGGTGTACAGTCGTCCTTTAAACAAGGATAAGTAGGTTTAATTGGAGGCGGTGTGATCTTCACCATGTAAGCACACCATGTGTCCCTGTCTCCTGCCCAGCGGCGTCTGGTTACGGGACTCAGAGCATTCGGCTGGGCAAAGACGCCATCAAAGACTTTGACTGCTGCTGTCTGTCCCTGCAGACCTGTCAGGATCCTGTGATGACGTACGTTAACACACACACACACACACACATGCTGTGTGACCACCACGTGACCATGAATACGTAAACGTTGTCTTCTTCTCAGTCCCGACGGATTCCTGTATGAAAAACAGGCCATTCTTGAATACATTTTGCACCAGAAAACCGAAACTGCCAAGAAACTGAAGGTAAGCCGCGTACTACGCTGTCTAATGTCTTGATTTGTCTATAGAATGTTGTCTTCTTGTCCTCTTTCCAGCCAAACTATGCCCCCGTCTTACTTTAAGCTTTTATCCGATGAATTGGACACGAATACAGCTGCGGGCTAATCTCAAGGATCCGATGCCCCTGTAACGTGGAAGCTTAGACGGTGTGAGAGGTTGGAGGCCTCCGTGGGTCAAACTGCTATTTGTCAGCCCCGGTTCCATGTATGGATCTTGGGTAACCCTATCTCGTGTTGTTCATCACCTCTACTGTATTTGTGTTTTGACAGAGCTCTTAAAACATGTTCCCCTTTTCTAATTCCATTCCGTGTTTTTCCTCCTCTAATTCTTCAGGCTTATGAGAAGCAGAAGCAGGCGCAGAAGAGCAGCAGCCGACTGGAGTCCAAGTCAGAAGAAAGAGAGAAAGTGGAGAGGTTTAAGACGCGGGAGAACAGCATTGTGTCCAAACCCATCAACCCATTCACATCCGGTACGCGCTCACTCAACATGATGCCTCGGCCAATCAGCGTTAAGATCTCTACAGCGTCTTCATTTCCCTCCAATCCTTTCACACCAAATAGAAGTTACTGCCAATACCATCTTATTATTATTAGTACCATACACACAAAAGGTTGCGGTTCTGAAAGCTTGGCACGTGGATGGGTGTTAAGCTTATGCTGCAATGTGACCCGTGGTGTCGCGTCTTCATCTTCAAGGAGTCGTCATTACGGGATTGTAAGATGAAGTGTAGTTGTTCATGTCTCACTTAAACGCGCCAAAGAGTAGAACATGTGACCTGTTCCCTTCAGGACTAAACCAGGGAGGAGAGACGGGCCGGACAGACAGCAGCTCGGCACAGTCCTCCTCCTCCTCCTCCTCTTCCTCCTCCTCCTCTGCTGCTTCCGTGGCCTCATCCAGCCAGAGCCTGCCCAGCTTCTGGATCCCCTCTCTGACCCCACAGTCCAAGCCCACCCTGCTCAAGAAACCAGTGAGTGTCCCCATCTCCTGTGTGGAGTTCCCCCCCGGCTGGGCGCTGAGAAGGAACAGTAGACCAGTCTGTATCTCGGGGGTACTACGTCTCCTGAGCAGGAAGAAGTTCCACTTGTATGTTGTTCAGATTTAAACACATCGGTCTCATGCATGACGGGTCGCTTTTACGTTAAAGTCACGGCGGTAATCCTTCGAGGCTGAACCTGAGACGGTGTGTACGAGCTTTAACACGACGTCGCACTGCAGCGGCTGGAGCTGAAGCCCACAGAGCGGCGTGCTCGTATTCCATCTACTGATCAGCGCGCTGCCGCTCCCTGTAGATGCACGAAGCGCCTTTTAGTCAACAGGTTGGCGGGTTAGAATGCAAACAATGGGCGGAAGCAAGTTTAACAACTGTCACCCAAGTGTTTAGTAAGAATCACATTTATAAGATTTTCTTTAAAAAAATTCAAAACATCACAATTACGAAATCTTATTGTTCTAGTTTGTCAGCAGGATCTCAAATGTTTGAACATATTTCAACATCCTTTTATAGAAATGAAGTCCATGTGCCAACCTAGAACTCATTAACTCTCTACATTCAATGGCTGATAGCAGCACCCCCCCCCCCCCAAATACTGCAGTACAAAGTCCTGACGTGTACTTAGTTTATTTACACGACTCATTTACTAAACTCTGAAAAGCTCCTTAGATTTTAATATAACATGACAAACATTTTAAATATCAAGCTCTTTTGTGAGAGCTGGTATTTTGAAGTTGTCCAGACGCCCCCTCATGAGACGTCCTCTTCAAGGTCCAGTTGTCCTCTTCAAGCAAAATCAGGACTCCACACAGATAAACGTGTGGATTGAGCGGGATCGACCCAAACGTGCACTTCAGTGTCCAGTAGCGCCTGCTGTGTCTCATGAGGTCAAATGTCACGATGTCCTCTGTGTGATGTTGACTCCACCGGCAGGAGGCCCTGATGGCTTCCCTGTGCTCTCTCCTTCCCTCAGAGTAAGACCGTGTTGTGTCCCATGTCAGGAAGACCCATCAAGATGAATGAGCTCATCCCAGTGCGCTTCACCCCCCTGGACCCCGGCCTGGATCGAGTGGCCCTGCTCACCCGACAGGTCGGTTACTTTCACGAGCTCGGGGACTTGTGATCCACTCAAATGATTAACCCTGGAAGTGTGAAGCAGAGGAACAAAGTGGCCTTCCCCTGCTGACCCGGTGGTGTGCTCACACACACACACACACACACACACACACACATTGCTCATAGTCAAGTTGTATGAAAGCACTGTAGTAGGAACACTACTGGGTTTGGGCTGCGTAGGATTTCTATCTGCGATCATTAAACGATAATCCGATAAAACCAGTGTTTGTAGACGTGATGGAAACATGCAGTGACATCACTGTCCTGTCCTCCTGTCTTGTCTCTCTAGGACAGATATGTGTGCGCAGTGACCAGAGACATCCTGGGTAACAGTGTCCCCTGTGCCGTCCTGCGGCCCTCGTAAGTGTCCAAATGTCTTCCACCACCCTCCCGTCCACGTGTTCTCTGGCTAACAGGCTAACTGCCTCTCTGCCCTGTGCAGGGGGACCGTCGTCACTCTGGAGTGTGTGGAGAAGCTGATCAAGAAGGACATGATGGACCCCGTGTCCGGAGACAAACTGTCCGACAGGGACATCATTCCAATGCAGAGGGTACGTAGAGGAGGTGGGGGGCACTGGAGGTGCTCCGTACTGTACTCTGCCTCAGACAGCCTGTTTACAGTAGCAGGTCTCCTCCTCCAGCACGAGTTACTGATGTCTCCTGGTGTCCCCCCGTTTGTTCTGACAGGGCGGAACCGGCTTCTCTGCGTCTGGAGTCGACCTCCGCGCCAAAGAAGCGCGTCCAGTGATGCAAGTGTGAGACGGAGGACGGCGTTCGCCCACCTCCCCCGCCCTGCTCCTCGCTGCCCTTTGTTGTATTGTTTCTGTTGCCTTCTGGCTTCTCGCTGTAAAGTCGCTTTCCTCCTGAACTACATTCATAGAGCACGAGACTTTCCTCCACAACTCACCCTGTCCCCGTTTTTATAGAAACACCAACATATCCCAGCGCTCTACGTAAGAGTACGATCCAATAGAAGGATCGCTCATTGCTTCATGTGATCCGAGTGCAGTCAAAGGATGGATCTCACGGGGTCTGCTTCACCCGATCCTCCATCCTTTCTAACTGATGTCTGGATGGTCGGGCCAGAGCGGTCTCACCACTTACTTCCTGTTTTAGGCATCAAACTGCAGAAGTTTTGTCAGCATCTCTTTTTTTGATGTATTTGACCATTATTTAGACAAAGGTTAGTACAAGTGATGTTAGTGGTTCAGGATCATTTAAAGTTGTTTTCATTAAACCACAAACTTATGGAAACCACCGCCTGGCTGCTTTTATTGTGTCGTTTGAGCGGGAAAGAGGTCTCTGTAATGACGCACCATGCAGCTCTGTGGTCCCTCTGTCACAGCTCGTCGTGTTCCTCCACCCTCATGCCTCCGTAGTCGGTGATGGTGCTGGTCATGACGTAGTCCATCTTGTCGAGCAGTTCAGAAAGAGTCAAGAGGCCGTCCTGACGAGCATGAATAGAGATGTGGAAATGAATACATATGGCGTTTATTCTGGAAATGCATGTAGCTCTAGAAATACTGGACGAGCCAATCCGGCCCCTTCCAACAGGAGTATATGGAACTATAATGTTAGCTTAGAGTGAAGTGGTCATCATTACTACAGGAGTCTAGAATGGACAAACCAAACACTCAGACGGTCTCTCATATTCATAGTACATCTAGATAGTGGAGATGTCTTACAGTAAACCGAGGAAATGATATAAAACAGAGCTGCACTAACTTTTAATCTGAAGATACTTCTCACCAGTCTGATGAAGTCCATCGATCACAGAACCTCTTCATTTATCTGCCTTGATAACCCAATTCTCATTGTGGCCCCTCTCCAAAGAAAGAGCTCTTTCATGAGGTTGATTGATAGGAAGCACAGCACTTTGAATTCAAGGCTTGACACCAAACCGGGTCTGTGCTGCTTACTGACAGCACATGATTCACATGGAGGCTGAATCTCCACATTAATGCTCTACAATCTGAGCATTCATATCCAAACAAGGCCCTGAGCTGCATTACAAAGTGATCACGTATCTAACAAGAAGTCTGCATTGGTATCTGGAGGTGTGACGCCATCCAGTCCCATTACTGGAGCTGGACCTGCCCTGGGCAGTAAACTTTAGGACGGCTCTTCCTGCTGAATTGAACACAGTAATGAGAATAATGAGATGGACAGAATGCCGCGTTAAGAATCCAACAGTGCTGAGCACCTTTCTCTTTTATCAAGTTCAACACAAACACTCCAAACTAAATGTCATATTGTAATAGACAGAAAAACATGTAGAGAGCTACACTGTTCTCATTATCACAACATGATACACAAATGTAACAAGATTGGTTAATGCAAAAACAAAGAAACGGCAATTCGTAGAAAAACAAAACAAAACAAGACTTTAATAAGCGAACTCCCGAGATCACAACATTCCATACACCTTGTGGTTTAATGTAACAGTCTCTGATGCCATGTCTGCATGTTTACCCGTGTGTTGGATGGATGCCACTGAATTATCAGCAGGAGTTCAGTGTCACTGATATGGAACGGTCTGTATTCACATACACAGTATGTGAGTGAATGCTGAGTGGATGTGTGTGTCTGTATGCACATGTGTGACCAAAGGTACATCATTACAACCTTTCTCTCAGAGTAACCACGGTAACCACGGTAACCGTGTTCTCCCAATGAGCTTCTGACAGCTCAAAGCTCATCGTGTCTCTTTGTTAAGTCCTCCCCGTAATTGGTGGCCTGGCTGCCAACAAACATGTTCCAGTTGGCCAGAATCTCCTCCTTGGTTATTTTCTGGTCCTGTTGGATCAGCAGATTCCGTCCAGCAGTGGTTCATTGGTTCATGATTGACAGAAAGAGGAGAGGTGAAAACAAGCAGGAGTAAAAGGAAGCAAGAGACAGACAGAAGCCGGTTAATAATTAACCCACAATCCCCAATTAGATGCAGCATAGCTCCCCGTGTAGTATACGTAATACTGTGATATGTACAGCGTGTGGTATAAGTAATACTGTGATATGTACAGCGTGTGGTATACGTAACACTGTGATATGTACAGCGTGTGGTATACGTAATACTGTGATATGTACAGCGTGTGGTATACGTAACACTGTGATATGTACAGCGTGTGGTATACGTAACACTGTGATATGTACAGCGTGTGGTATACGTAATACTGTGATACGTACAGCGTGTGGTATACGTAATACTGTGATAAGCACAGCGTGTGGTATACGTAATACTGTGATATGTACAGCGTGTGGTATACGTAATACTGTGATATGTACAGCGTGTGGTATACGTAATACTGTGATATGTACAGCGTGTGGTATACGTAATACTGTGATATGTACAGCGTGTGGTATACGTAATACTGTGATATGTACAGCGTGTGGTATACGTAATACTGTGATATGTACAGCGTGTGGTATACGTAATACTGTGATATGCACAGCGTGTGGTCCAGTCATTAGAACTAGAGGTGACCAGTTTGTTCCTGGCTATAGTTAACTGCTGGTTGTTATTCATCATAGTCACTACCGTACTTCTTTCATCACCATGCAGACACAGCGGACCACCGACCTTCGTCAGTGTCAACTAGCTGCACGGGGCGTCTGTGTCGAAAAGCCCCTTGGTGCATTAAAGGTGCTGTACACCAGAGTGGAGAACATCTACGGCCTCTCAGCTCTAACCGTTAAATGTGGAATGTGGTGTTTTCCGTGTCTTTAAATGGACAAAGCCCACACATGTTGTATGTTCTCCAACATTGTGAACATTGTGGCATTGAGGTCAATGGTGCTTCGGGGTCTACGCTGTGTGGGGGCCACGTGGACCGTACTGGCACAGGGTTCTAGGTGGGGCGGGTCTACCTTGTCGGTGTCCGTCTCATAGATCAGGTGTTTGGCTTCATTGTCAGTATGGTCAACCTCTCCAGGCAGAATCCAGTGGGCCACCTCGTCAGCATCCAGGTGGCCGTCCTGTAGAACATGCAGCACAGCTGCTTAACGGAGGACCGGGTGGGGGCACGGCACCGACGCCTCAGACCCAAATGACACAGCAGCTTTTACCTTGTTGGCATCTCTGAACTCAGAGAAATGTTTCTTCTCGGTCTGGACCCAGTCGGGCTCTCCGCCAGCGTCCTCTGATGTGTACATGTCTCCTGTGGGGACAGCACACACACATTTAGGACAGATGTCCTCCAGCTTTAGGAGAGCCGTGGTCGTAGAGAACACCCACCGATGTACTCCGCCAAGTCGATCTTGCCATCGCCGTTCTTATCGATGTCCTCCACCGTTTCCTACAGGAGAAAGGTACGTTATAGTTAATGCAGTGAACAAGTCATACTTTGTACTTTGCTTTAACCTTGTGGCCCCCATGGATCTACCTGCACCACCACGTCTTTCATGTGGTCGTACTCCTCCGGGTGGAGGAAGGCGGTGAACTCTTCCCGCGTGGCGATACCGTCAGCGTCCCGGTCGGCCCTCTTGAAGCGCCTCTCGTCCCGGGTGAGCATGGATTTATAGGTGGCCTTGTTATCCAGGTCATCAAACTCCTCGTCTGAAAAGAATCATTTGTAGTTCAGCCAGACGGGCGAAGCAGACCGAGCCACATGAGGCAAAGCTCCAGAACAGCTACCAACTGGAGCTGGAGGTGTCGGCGCTGGCGGAGCCGAGCCTCAGAGGCCAATTCCTCCCTGTGGGGAAAGCATGTGAGCCGAGGTAGAGACGACGGTTGAGAGACGCAGAAAGTAAGTGGACCTTTGAGTCAAGATCGTTTTAGAACGTCGGCGTGGATTTATTAGCCTAGCGTGCAGACCCAGTGTGTGCTGGGACTGGTGGTTTACAGAAGAGGGCCGCGGGCTCACTGGGACAGCTGGGAGAAAGCGGGGTTTGTGTGAGCTATGGCTAAGTGAGTGGCGCTGGTTGATGTGGTCGGTTCGATGAGCACGGACTCCTTTCAAGTGGCTTCATTTGTTTTGTCAGCGGACACTGAGATCAGTTTTTAAATCGCAAAGAGGGAGGTAGAGAGAGAAGTGAAAGTAAAGGACGCAGCATTACCCAGGTAGTAGCCATAGGTGGTGTTTTTGTACTCCTCCCAGCCGATCTTTCCGTCTTGGTTCTTGTCGTAGTCCTTCCAGTGCTTGTTCACGTTCTCCTCGATGTACCTCCTCTGCCGGTGTTTGATCCAATAGTGCAGCTCTGCGTGGCTGATGTAGCCATCCTTGTCCATGTCAATGCGCTCCACTATCTTCCTGTACGGGTTAAGAATAATTGGGACTGAAATGATCTGCATTAGACATCAAACCCCAAATTGAGATCGACACACAATCCAGAAAGCAATTATGTCTGCAGTACCAAAGCTGGTGGATTTGTACAAATACACAAGTTGAAGCTGTGTTATAAGCACAAAGTTGCATTGCTCATGCAAATGTACAAAAGCTAATCAAATGCTCTGCTGCTTTTGTTTTCATCTCACACAAACAAAATATCTCCAGTGCAACGCCATTGTATATAATGATGATATAACAATGTGCTTCTGTTTACTGGGCCGTGAGTGCTGGAGCAATGGGCCCTTGTATTTGGGATAACTAGACATGGTTCAGTCCTGTGAGACACTTTTAGTGTACAAGGGTTTGAGAATATTTGATCACATGGTATGCAGTATTTCATTGATCATCACTGCGCTGTACAATGACAATAAATGAACTTGGGAGTGCTGCTGCCGTGGACAGTTTAGAAGCAGCGTGGTGAAGGTTAGTGAAACCTACGCTAATTTGTCTTTGCTCTCCTCGGGCGTCAGCTGATCGAAGGTCTTGGCCTCCTCTTTGCCCAGGAAGGCTTCATGGTCGTACTGGAAGCCGTCGGAATCGTCGTGGGCGTGGTCACTCAGATCGGCCTGGTGATGGATGCGCTTCTCCTGAGCAGGGACGGCAAAGGCAGCGGCGGCCAGGACGCACAGGGAGGCCAGTGTCCTCAACAGCATCATCGTTGACTGGTGGAGGGGCGACGCTGCGGGACGGCAGAAATTAAGGAAAAAGGAAAACATTATTGGCCTGAGATCATACAACAACCGAAAACAGGAAACTACGTTTAAAACACAGTACAGTCAGCATAAAACTAGAGAAAACATAGTCCCGGTTGAGATGCTTGGAGTAAAGGTCCACAGTGTACAGCGCCTCCTTCAGGTCAGAGCCTCTACTGAGGGACGCGAGGCTCAGCGGTGTCTTCTGACCGTACACAGTTCACCCAGAATCCACCTGGGTTCCCCCATTCTTCTGCTGACCCAATAGGAGAGGCTGGTGGACTTGATCTGCAGACTGGCCGAGTCCCTCCGGAGCTGCTGAGGGAACTTCTGCCAGCAGCTCTTTATCAAACATGAGACTTTTCACTGTCGGTCACAACGAGACTCTCTACAGCTGCAGTGAAAGACCAGCTGCCAGAAGCAGTACTTTCCTCAGTCCATATTTGCAGTTTGTGCTAAAAGGCCGAGTACGACGACCTCATCGGCCTCGTAGACCACGACATCCATCATTGAATGAGCTTGTACAGGAACATGGACACGTGGATCATTCTGACAGGTCACTATTCGTCCAGGATGAGGATTACATCATAAACATTCTCTCTCAGCAACAATGTCATTTTCAATCACTTCATTGAGAGATGTTGGGTAAATAGTACAGCATTGATGAGAATGTGTGTGGAACTGAGATGCTCATTCACACGTTTTCCTTCATATTTCCTCATCTGAGCTGCAAACTCTAAATGGCAGCGGAGCTACAAAAGCACAAATTACACCGCTCGACACTTTTCTTCTAATATAACGGTTTACAGCCAAGATAAAAATAACTCACCAGTTTCTCGGCAGCTTCTCGCGACAGTCTGGTCCGCGTTGGCACTCTGTACCTTTAAATAACAGCGTCAGGAGGCGGGCCTTGTTCTTCAGCTACCCAATGAACAACGCCGTCAACGGGCCTCCCACCAATGAGAAGTAGCCTTAGCGGAAGGCATTTTGGTGAACTCTTATTGGCTGTGAAGTGCCACGTTGTCACGCCAGACGGACCGCTGCTCAACGCGAAAGCAAACGAGGGGAGCCCGAGTCCCGCCGAGGAGGTCTGACAGGGACCCGCACACACACGTCTTCATTCTTAGCACTTTACCTGACATGGAGAGCCAGACAGCTAGGGAGGTAGAAAGGCAGGTAGACAGCTAAGGAGGTAGAAAGGCCGGTAGACAGCTAGCGAAGCAGACAGACAAGAAGACAGCTAGGGAGGTAGAAAGGCCGGTAGACAGCTAGCGAAGCAGACAGACAAGAAGACAGCTAGGGAGGTAGAAAGGCAGGTAGACAGCTAGGGAGGCAGACAGACACAAAGACGGCTAGGGAGGCAGACAGACAAGAAGACAGCTAGGGAGGGAGAAAGGCAGGTAGACAGCTAGGGAGGCAGACAGACACAAAGACAGCTATGGAGGTAGACAGAGAAGAAGACAGCTGCTAGGGAGGTAGACAGGCAGGTAGTCAGCTGGAGGGGCAGCCAGACAGGAAGACAGCTAGGGAGGTAGACCAGCGAGTACGACGAGTTAGGGAGGTAGAAAGCCAGGTAGACAGCTAGCGAAGCAGACGGACAGGAAGACAGCTAGGGAGGTAGACAGTTAGGTAGGCAGACAGACAAGAAGACAGCTAGGGAGGTAGACAGCTAGGTAGGCAGACAGACAAGAAGACAGCTAGGGAGGTAGACAGACAAGAAGACAGCTGCTGGGGAGGTAGACAGACAAGAAGACAGCTGCTGGGGAGGTAGACAGACAAGAAGACAGCTGCTGGGGAGGTAGACAGACAAGAAGACAGCTGCTGGGGAGGTAGACAGACAAGGAGACAGCTGCTGGGGAGGTAGACAGACAAGGAGACAGCTGCTGGGGAGGTAGACAGACAAGAAGACAGCTCGGGAGGTAGACAGACAAGAAGACAGCTAGGGAGGTAGACAGACAATAAGACAGCTCGGGAGGTAGACAGACAATAAGACAGCTAGGGAGGTAGAAAGACAGGTAGACAGCTAGCAAAGCAGACAGACAAGAAGACAGCTAGTGAGGCAGACAGACAAGAAGACAGCTAGGGAGGCAGACAGACCACAAGACCGCTAGGGAGGCAGACAGACCACAAGACCGCTAGTGAGGCAGACAGACAAGAAGACAGCTAGTGAGTCAGACAGACAAGAAGCCAGCTAGGGAGGTAGACAGACAAGAAGACAGCTAGTGAGGCAGACAGACAAGAAGACAGCTAGTGAGTCAGACAGACAAGAAGCCAGCTAGGGAGGTAGACGGACAAGAAGACAGTTAGAGAGGGAGACTTACTAAAGGACAGCTAGTGAGGCAGACAGACAAGAAGACAGCTAGGATAGGCAGACGGAGATGTAGAACTGTAGAGGAGCATATTGATCCGTATGCCTATTTCATTTTGCTTTCATCTTCATTCCTTCGTCATTTCTGCAGACGGACATGCTGCAACCGAGGCAGACCGACACCCACACAGCTAGGGAGACAGACACACAAAAAGA